GTATGCACAAACATTTAAATTATTTTACAATTAGTATTCTCAGTATATTTAGCAGACAAGTTTATCAAAGATGACTGAAAGAGTTAGGAGTTTCCAAATACAATGCATAAGGAAGCTATTGCCACAGAAACATAAGTAGCAATTCAAGTTCAATTAAAATCTACAATAAAGAAATAAGCAAGATCATTTTGTGTACGAGTGAGAAACTAGGATGAACTATTTACTTATAACTAGAAATATGACTTTTAACTAAAGTCTGATAGTGGTGTTTAGTGAAAACAGGTTATTGCAGTATTTTGTGACATAAGCCAACAATACCAATTTGGTGTACAGAGGTTGCAAAGCTCATCCCTTGCTTTTCAGTCAATTCTCATTACTTTGAAAGACTTCGGCAGTACAGTATGTCTGCACATTGATGTCACTGTATACATTTGCACACTTCTCCCTGCCTCCTCATTAAACACAAACCGAAATAATGAACTGTTCACTTCTGAAATGCATGGTCACCTCTCCACAAATGTGGGTAATATGCTGTTTATGCTAATAAGCAGGTAATCTGTCTGACAAATGCAGCCAATTCCAATAACAAGCAATGTCAACTAAAAAAAAACAACACAGCACTGCAATTAAGACAGCAAATTATGCAGCCAGGTCAGGGGCTCAAGATAAGTCCATAAACACTGCTTTAGTTAAAAGCACTTTATTCTAGGTGAGCTTCAGCATCATTAGTCACTTTAATATAGAGCTGAACAAGCTGGAATAAAGTTTGGCTTGATAAAGTGGTGTCTGGCTATTGATGTTAAACCTGCTATTAACAGATTTAAAGACACAAAAATGCTTGTTTCGTCTGTGCTACAGTTTATTTTTATGTGTTCTTATTTTCATTTATCTGACCTCATCCATCATCTTTCCATCTTAATACACTAGAAAATAAAAGTTTAAACCCTGCATCCCCTTTTAAAGAAATATTGTAATAGCCAAGCTCGCAATGTCAGCTTCATCAGGGGATGGCTGGCTCCCTGACTCTCGCCATTCTTCCCAAGACTCTGACCACTAATTCCCATCACAGTGCTATTCTCACTCATGTCCATACTTAAGGCTTTAGACAGCTGCTTAACACCAATTCATTAGATCTGGATTCGATCAAAGTCTCTTTCTTCTCTGTTAATGGCTGCTTTCAAGTACAACAATACCCTCGCTTCTGAGTTGTTTAGATAGAAACCTGACAACTGTCAATACAGCCATATCACGCCTTCCCATCACCTGACAACACGCCATGCCGGTGTAATCTTCTACGACACAGAAAATAAAATTCAGTGTTTTATAGCTGTCCCTTTTCAGAGAATCAAGAGAAAATCAATATTATCTCAGGCACTACATGATGTTTATAAGTAGTGTGTATTTAAGACCTACTCAGCGGCCCTTTTGAATAAACTGGACTATCTACATTCTAATTCTCCCACTTTTGTTAAGCTTGTCATATACAGCATATGCAAAATATAATGGACCTAACATTTGTCTACTTCCAAAAGCCAGATAAACATAAATATGTTTAACTCCATATGAGCATCGTACAGTACATGCAGTCACTTACTACATTATCAGGGACATGCAGTCAAATGATGACTATCTTGAGCACAGAGTAGTGGGCTAGAGAAGCAGGACAGATATTTCTATGATCTTCCCAGATCAGAACCCTACTCAGATCTCAAACCTATTGTGAACCTGTGGAATCTTTGCATTGTGCTGTTCTATCACACAAGCCAATACATCACAACTTTAACTGATGGTGACCCTGCTAGAAGAATGCAATGCGATTAGGCCACACATATTTTAAGATCTAGTGAATACAGCCCACCTCAAGTCTGAGCTGTGACTGCTACTAACAGAGGCCCAATATTACTTGGGGGTTTCTAATATTTTTGTCAGTCAGTGTTTGCATTCATTCAGGATGCAGGAAATCACAGAGTCTTCCCAGTTAAATATACTGTATGTGCATGAACATTCTGCAACCTTGGTTTTAGCTACAATCATTAAGTCAATAAGTACTGTTGCTACTTTGCAGATCTGATTTGAAAAAAATACCAGAACACTCATTAGATATTACAAATATTATTGGACAAATGAGAATTTCAAGATTTAATTGTGGATCACTTAGTTAGATTTTCTTTAGCATTCACCTTTACATGAATCCATAAACATAAACAAAACATTTCTGATAAGACATTGCTGACTTGAATTGAAGTCTTGTCTCCGTTTGCCTGCATCAATCAACCCTACTGTGGCCCACAGTACAATCAAATAAGGCTTTCCTATTTTGGTAGATTTACCTCAGTAATCTGATCAAGAAACTCTCAGTAATATTGTAATGCACTCTGACTGTTTAAAGATGCTGTTGGGAAGCATTACACCGACAGAGGACTATTTCTAAACTTCAGGAAAGTGAATGTACATCAGAATTACTGCTGATGAAAGACTGGACAGGTATCACATTGAGGTGGTCAGGTGTCAGATTTAATGAAGCTGTTGCAGGTTACAATGTGCTGTCAGCAGCACTCCATCTTCTTATAGTTAATAAAAGACAATAGATCCTCCCTGAAAAAATAAAGAGATCTTATTGAATGTCAAAATCAATATCGAATGGTGATTGAGCCTCCAAGATATGTGGCTGTCTATTAGAGCAAACATTGTGGCACAATAGGTAGCACTGTCATGTTGCAATTCAAGGGTCCTTGATTCAAAGCAGGCTGTCTGTATGCACGTTCTCCCCATGCTTGCCTGGGCTTTCCTTACTCTGGTGCCCTCTGACAATCGAAAGACTGGATCCAGATTAACTGAAGTCTAGAAAATGTCCATACATTTGCATGGATGGTTGGGTGCATGTATGTCCTGGAATTCCAGAATTAAGTTGTAGTCCTGGCTCACATCCTGTTTTTGCTGGGTCAGACTCTGGTTCACCTAACTCCTTTAAGGATAAAGGAGTTACTGAATATGAATCGGTGGTTGATTGACTAATAAGGGAAATCAATATGTTACCGGAGTGCCTTTTTGTAACGAGCAACATCCCCCGGGGTCTTTAAAAACCACGACACTAATATGTGGTAAAGAGCAGAATTGCCTCTTCAATATGTCCACCTAAGTTCAGACACTGGTAACATGCAGCCCTTTCCCAGTTCCCTATCCTCCTTCTCAATTGCCACACTTATGTTAGTACCTTGGCTCATTCTTCCAAGTGGTACAGTGGTACTGTAGATAGCCATAGCCTGTCAAAGCCACAACAATATCGACAATTGTTCTCTCAGATGAACATGCCTGCACGCACATTGATGGAACAATTTAACCAAACTGTAACTCTGGAGCTCTGGTTAGGTTTTTATTATTACTTGCTTGTCTGACAATACGTGGCTGGGGTTACACACTGATAATGAGCTCCTAGTTATACTGCCCACTATTCACACAGCTCCAATCAGTAGAGCTTTAGATCACTGAAAGCTATAAATAAACATGGAAACATTCAGCTAATGTGAGCCACACTCTCACAAAACTACAAGTTTTCAATGCAAGGGGATAAACTTGTCGTTTTATTAGAGACTAGGATTATACATACAGTATATAAATACTGCAGTATGGCTCAATCTCAGAGTTTAAGGAACATCTTTGGGAAAATCTTACTTTTAGATGTTGTATAAAAAAGGTAATGTACTGAATTACACTCCAAGCTTCAGGGCAAGTGATTTGCAATTAACTAATTAAAAATCTAGATTTGTTTTTTACTTTTCTGAAACTATGGTGGTAAAGGTTTTATACAGTACTTGACGTCAGAAATTTTAGGAATTCTTCTATTAGGATTTTTAGAAACTCTAAAAAACATTTTGTCTGATTTTATACTGTAAGTCACAATAAAATGTACAGAAAATACAGTCTCACATCTCACATCACATAGAATATTCTTAGTTCAGACAACTGCTACTAATTATATTATTACTATTGGCCTAATGTACCTAAAATAAATGTGATAGGTCTTCCAGAGATTCTAGAGATGCAAAATACAGAATGTAGATGAAATTCCAGGTTTCCAGCTGTACTGGAAGCATATCTTAAACATAAAGAGCTATATTTAACTAAAGATTTGACATGAGATTAAGCCAAACAGACAAAGATATAAACAGCACAGAAAATTCCACTTGGCTAAACAGTTTGTCTGCCCTAACACTAGTGCTTCAATATCATCCTAAAAAAAACTAAAATCCATCAAATATTGTATTTCCCCTTTAGCCATTTAAAAAAGGAGTATCCTGTCTGAAATGCTGAACAAGCTCTTTTTCCAATCCCATGAAAAATTGTTCTTTTTTTTTTATTATTGTTCTGTTTAGAATAAAGTTTCTATTAAAGTTACTGGTTCTGGAAACAACACAAGATATGAAGTGTTTTGACTTCACATAAAGACCTGCTACAGTTCTGCTAACGAATTTCACGGTTCAAGGAGATTGAATCAAGTTAACCTTGAGATTCTGATATAGAAAAAGAAATGGGTACATTCAACAGGAAAATGGTACAGCTGTGTCTCTTTGGCTTAATTCAGAACTCTGGGTCAACACTTTTTACAGGCCTTGCCTGGCCAGAAGCTTGCTTTCAAGATTTTGAATATGTTGTTTGAGCTCAGGGTGGCCCAGTGCCACAGTGGTGAGTATTGCTGCCTTGCAGTGCTGGGTTTTGGGGTTGAATTCCAAACTTTCTGTGCAGGGATCGTATGTTCTCTCTGCGTTCGTGTGGGTTTCCTCCAGTTTGCACCGGTTTCCTCCCACAGTCCAAAAATACATGTGTATATTTTGAGAATATTAGCCCTGGTGTGACTGCGTGCGTGCCTGTGTGTCTGCCCTGCAATGGACTGGCGTCCTGTCCAGAGTGTACCCTGCCTTGCGCCCCTTGCTTGTCTAGTTAGGCTCCAGCTACCCTGAACTGGAAGAAGCAGCTCGAAAACAGATGGTGGGATATATTACCTCGATCGGTGTTCTCCTCAACGCCTTTCAGTGTCAGAACTGCCACCTTGTTTAAAAAGCAAGGGCTCATCCACAATGTGAGACTCTTGGCTCCATGCTGCAGTAACCCCAATGCCAGCTACAGCCTTCATAATGAAATTAACACTGTTCCTACAAGGAAAACACTCTGCAGATGCTTATAAGTATTTTAATAATGTTCAAATTGCAATTTGATGACTAATCATCTCACTGCCTCAGATTTTAACAATTCTCACAGTCTCTCTAAAACTGGGATTAAGAGGCACTACATAAATATTGTGTACTGAATCTTTTTCATTGCGTCTGTTGTACAGAATGACAAGAATGTATGGGGAATTTAAAGCTATATACTTTCCCCTACGTACCTAGTTATGTGCGATAGCAATAGCACGTAATTAAAAACGCTCATTATCCTATCGATTCACAACACCTGCTAATAATGAGAAGTGCACAGAAAAAAAGAGCCACCGAGAGATCACGTGATACCCTCAACTAACCTCTGTCAAAAGCTGCGTGAAATGTCTCAGGATTTAATAGGTATCTCGTGGCTTATTTGTAGATAAGCAACCAATTTAAACAAAAAAGTAATAAACAACGGAGTGGGAAATGAAAAGCAGCATTAATTATGCAATGGTGTCATGCACTATACATTTTCTTCAGAATAATAGTATAGTTTTAAGATTAGAATGCGGAGTTGAGGGGACTATTCCCCGTTTAAGCGTCTGATTTCTATAGCTGGGATCATGAACTGCAAGCCACTATTTACCATCTCCCGTCGTCAAGCTGAATTACAGGTTAGATGCACTTTTTCTTATTTCGAAAGAAAAAGAGAAATCAAGAGAGACACGTCACACAGTATCACCAGAGTCACATACCTATCATGCTGAAGAGACGCAGTCTCTGACAATGTGACACTGACAGTCTACGCACACCTCTCTGTTTGTATTTAAGCCTATGGCCTACGACATCCCAGGTCACACTGCATCAGCGCACGTGTAATGGTCCCTGAAGCATGTTGGGAAATGTAGTGCCCTTTTTTCCGTTTCTGTTTCAACGTTTTCGTGCAACGATTTACAAGATACAAACGTAATTTATTATTGCTGTCATGATTTCTGCTACTACTATTTGAAAGCAACTACTGAGTTTTATGTATTTTATAGCATGCTTCTTCTGGTTGTGACCGAGTGCTTATTTAATTGGGTAGGTCAGTCTCTGCACAAAACGAAGAATTCAGGTCATTAAACAAGAGTTGACGGTTTGGTCGTCTTATTTCACGAATTTATTTTTTTACTGCTAACCTTAGAACTAAAACTTAGAAAGGACCCTGAAAACGGTGCGAGCGAGTGCATCGCTGCCAGTCCAGTGCTAACTGTACGTAACCAGAGATCTCTTTGTTATAATTAAAAATGTATGGTGCCGTTTTTTATAGCCTGGAACTTTTTTTCGTTTTTCTAAGTAAAATTTGTGTATTTGGTAATCACATGTAAAATCTTGCCTTATAACAGAGAAGGGACTTTTTCATTTGGTTCTGCTTTTTCGGGATAAGTTGCTTTTGCTTCGGCAGTTTGGCGAGTTACAGTTTCCCTGTAATCATTCATACATTCTTGTAATGATTGAAAATGATTGCATGTGCTTAACAGATTCCTGCTATCGTAGCAGACGTTTTGCTGTCGAGCTAGTCGAAGATCAATTCTAGCGGTCATTTAAGGAAGGGCGCCGGTGGTATTTTATAATGCGTCTTGTGTTCTGTTTAACTTTAGTATTTCCAGGTATGTCTGTAAAACTCAGTATACTGTATGAGAACAATTGACCAAATGACACGACAACCGATTTGGTGCAAATTAGAACAGTTTGCTAACTCTCCAGGTGTTATGGAGGACTTCAAAATGACAAACTGCAATATACAGGTATTGGACAGAAACAATGGAAATACCCAGCAAAGGGGGAACACTATGGATATTGAAAGCAAGGTCTCCCACTCAGTTCTGGTCATGCTTTAATTAAGCAGCTAGCATCCCAGCACGCTTAGAGGCATGCATAAAAACAGGAAAGCCTGGTTTCTGGAATTCTGGCTGTGAGAGCACAGTGACTTTGAAAGAGGTGTGTTTGTTGAGGTGAGTACAGCAGGAGCTTCGGTGACCAAGACGGCTCAACTGGTTGAGATTTCGCAACAGTAAGTGGAAGCACAAACTATAATCATGATATCCATGCTTAAATTCAGAGTGCAGGGCAAACGAAGCCAAGCAATTACGCAGCAGGTGATCTGACTGCAAATGCCAACCTGGGGTGCAAGCATCCAGTTTAATCAAAGGTGGTCTGTAAGAGCTCCTCAAAGTGGTACACTGTACAGAGGTGGATTGCAGTGCAGGAACCACTCCTCACTCCTGGCACGTCCAGTGGTACAAAGAGCACAGGCAATGGACTGCTGAGCAGTGGAGAGATGTGATATGGTTAGAGGAATTATCCTTCATGTTCTCGACAACCTCAAGCACTCAAGGATTGTAGAGCTTTTTGTTCCAACAGTAAAGGATTCTGGTGGTTCTATAATATTGTGGGGCTATAATAATATTCCTGGGATGGTCTGGGTGTATTTGTTCCTTTCGAAGGCAAGGTAGATGTTATTGGCTACTTAATAGTGATCGTCTTCACCCCATGTAGCATTTTTTTTTCATGGGGGGCATCTACCTGATGGCAATGTCCACATCTACTGAGCATGTGTGGTCTCCCAATAGTTTAATCAGCTGTACACTGATGTGTGTTACAGTATGAAGTATGTCATGGCCTTCTCACTCACCAGAAATACTGTAAACACAAATGAGCATTTATGAGATATTTTGGATTTTTCCAGAGCATTTTTTCACTTCCATCAGCCAGGCTTTCTCATGGAAGAATGGTGCTCCATGCCTGCTGCAGAACTCCAGATGGTGTACACTCTATGTGATGATGCATACAGGCCATACTGGTTTCATGTGGTGATCCAGCACCTTATTATGTGAACTATACATTGATTGACACTACCTGTGTGTTTTGGCTCTCAGTTCCTGCTTACAGTGTATTTGGAAATTCTAGCAGCTTCGTGCCGTTTTACTGTAAATCAAAATGCTCAAGATTCCAACTCTGATAAACCCTATATGTCTGTATGTTCGCAGTTGTAAATAAGTTGCTTCAAAATACAGTATTTAGCCCTACATACTGTACACTAGCAAGGAAGTAAGGGTATGAAAAATAGTTATATTTTTTCATTTATAATGTTTTATTGTTTAATTTTAGATTCATACAAATTCAAACATAAAATTCATATGCAGTAGCATTATTTCTAGATGCACATCATAGAAGCCCTGCCTCATTTAGATTTTCTGTTTCTGTCTTGTGGAAGCTTAATGCGTTAAGCATTGACGGTTGGCAAGTAAATACTTTTAGAATGCAGTTTTTCATACCCTACAAATGTGTGCTTTCCATCAGTACTGGAGATCCAGTGAGTCCTAAACCAGTTTTGAGATAACAGTCCAGTCATGTGCTCATGGTCTTTGTGTGTTCAACAGTGATTTTCTTTTTTTTAAGCAAAAGGAATCTTGGCAAAAATAAAATGAGGACCTGCTGCCACCCTGGGTGTGTAATGATTTTAGGATAAATGCAAAAAGTCTTGGGTATAAAGAGTTAATTTACATAATTATGTTGTTTTTTCTATTAGTCTTTCTAGAGAGATTTATGTGCAGCTTTTTAAACATGTAGACTATTTAAAGCATTGGGGCTGGTAGATGCTGTAAACTTCATTAATATTCAAATTGAAAATGCATCAATGTAATGTTTTCTGCATCTCTTCAAATGTGATGTGGCATATTACAACCAAAGTTACAGGGTTAGATGATTGACTAAACATGATTCAATTTACATATTAATGAGTAAAATGACAGATTATAATATTTACCCCCCTCTCTCCCAGGGGTCAACACTGTACTTAGTTCCAAGCTTTCAGGTTCCAATAATTCTACAATAAAAGAACATTCTAAGTTTTTTTTTTTAACCTTGTTCGGAAAAGGTTAAGGAAGGTAACATTCTGTTCTGGATTTCCAAATGTTTTTTGAGCTGTTTGCAGGGTCTGTTTCAATCATGCTCAAATAAAGTTGTGAAAACTGAAAATCATTTTTTGTTTTTTGAGCCAAGAGATTAGACAAAGCATAGACTTTTTAAAGAATAGGGTTCAGTGACATGAACAACATGCTTAGTCTACTAGGAAGTGTAAAGGTTGTTTTCTCTATGGAAGCTCATCCTTGTTTAAAACATTACAAGTGAGGATGATACTTTCATGTAACTGCTTCATGCCACCCTCTGCTACTTTTTTGCCCAATATTAGATAAGCATATTTGCACATTATTCAAAAGCTCAGAGTATGTAATGGACAGTATAAAGCATTCCCTAAGATGCAGATATCTTTGATCTTTCTGTAGTGATAGAGTTTCAGTGTTCTTTTAGTGCTGAATTTAAAGTGAACAGCACTGAAAAAATATAAGTGCAGTACATTAGGCATTATTTATGCAGCAGTATTTTTCAGCAAATATGGACACTTGAAGCTGTAAATTGCTCCCAGGCGAACATTAAAATTTCGTAAGTTTAAAGGACTTCTTTGAGCAGCTCTGCCAACTGTTCATCTCCATTCCACTCTGGACATGTGTTGGCAAATATGACTCACTGGGGAGCTCTGGCTAATGAAATTCTATCTTACATTATTGGAGAGTTCTCAACATAAATAATAATTGCAATCTAGTTATGTTTAGTGACAATTTCCAACCTTGTGCCATAACTAATCTCAATTGTTTTATGTTCAATCGACAGTGATATGGATTCAGTACAGGTAGTTCTGCTGTTTTTGTTTTTGTTTTTGATTCAACACACCTTTAAGGCTACTGTATGTACTACTTCATAATTAAGGGCACATTAGTTTGCACAACATTTCTATAAAGTAGGAGCCCTATAGTGAACAATACCTCAGCCAAAATGCATTATGATGCTGCTGCAAAGCTCTGACAAACACATCATTGAGAATGACTGCTATGGTACTGTACTGTAGGTCCAGTGGCATCTTTAAAAGTGTTTTATACCCTGTGACATTGTAGTTTTAAACATACCAATACATGAATACTCATACTGAATACATGATTTAAAGTAAGAACATGACAACATATGTACAGTATTATTATAATAATAATTGCTTACACTTATATAGCACTTTTCTGGACACTCCACTC